TAGGGACTATCATTCAGAAGGACAGCTATAAAGTATATCAATTATTTTAAGCCTTGTGAGGACAGACCAAATCTGCATAAATTATACATTTATCCCAAATACTTAACATAGTGTTGGTTGAAGTGGCTGTCCCATAAATATCAATAAAGTAATGAAAGAATGTATATATGAATACACTCATATATTCGTTGTATTCGTTGTATTCGTTGAATGTCTACTCTGTTTTTCAGTTTAGTTTTTGTTTTTGCTTTTGTTTTATAGTTAATTTATTTTTTCCTATAGGGCACAGGCTTTCCAGAGACAGCGAGAAGAGGGAGGAAAAGTGAGAAATCATCCCCCAATGGGGATATACACAATGCAATTACTTCTCCATTCTCCTCTTGGGATCTGGGGCATGCATACAAACACACCAGGCATGTTTTTCAAGTTTCTAGGTCTGGGACTTGAACTAAGCAGTCAGCCATGTCAGATCCTGCCACAACAACCACCACACCACCTGCTAGTCCCAGAGCGTCTTACTCAATGTTACACATTACACTTACACATTAGTGAAGTAAATGATTTTTTAGTAAATAAATGAATGAACGAATAAATGCAATCATATTCGACATTTTTTTCTGCTCTACTACTACTACCTAATGATGTGTTACAGTATAGGATTTAGTGTTTTCAACATCCTAGAACAAGTTCACTCTAGCAAAAATATTTTTAAATCAGGCTGACTACATAGGCTGACTTTTGCCTCAAAATTTTGATTTTTTAAAAATTGTAATGACTCTTGGGAACCAGCAGTTAGCGTAATGGCTATGTCACTGGACTCCCACGTAGTCGACCGCGGTTCGTGTCCCAGACCCGGTGGCTTAAAACTCACGCCGGGCGCGTGTGTGTGCGTGCCCAAGATCCCGAGAGGAGAATGGAGGAGAAGGGATTGCGGCGTGACCATCCCCCCTGGGGGGTGATTTCTCGCTTTCTGTCTCTATGTCTCTCTCTGTCTGTCTGGCGAGCGCACGCGCCCTACAGTGAAAAATCTCTCCCAAAAAAAAAAAATTGTAATGACTCTTATAAAACCAAGAACTTAGAACCACACTTTTTTTTTCCTTGCTTTTTAAAATTTTCATTAATGTTTTATCTTAATTTGCTATAGGGCGTGTGTCCTCCCCAGAGAAAGAGAGAAAGTGAGAAAGTAAACCACCAGATCTGAGACTTGAAACATAGTCAGGTGGGAGACCAGTGCCTTAACCACCAAACCACCTGCTGGCACACTTTTTTAAAAAACTGAGCACAAAAATGGTCATATAACAAACCAGGGCTCATTTGTGGACAGTTTAGGATCCCTAGAGAAGTCCATGTTGTATCACTCTTTTCTGATACAGAAAGAGATAGATAGTACCCAGACACAAAAATTACAGTCATAAGAAATGCTCATGACCAAAAATAATACTATTCAGATGGCACTGCCAATAGAATTACCCACTCTAAGATGCAGAAGTCAGAATTTATCCTTCACAGAGTTAGTCAATCAGAGGTTGAATAGCACAGACCTGAAAGTTGCTTGCTAAATTTGACTAGTTTTGGTAACTGTACTAGATGGAGATTTTTTTGTTTTGTTTTTAATTGCCAGAAAGCACATGCATTCACTACAGAGAGATAGCACCTCTGAATAGGGCATGGTCCTGGCGCAATCCCTTCTCCATTTCAGGTACATGCATAATGGCTAGGCTCTTCAAGTCACTGGTCCGGGATTCAAACCACTGTCAACCATTTTGGCTCTGGCTTCCCAGCAGAAGACAACACTAAACCATACACTGTCGGGTCCAACTGGATTAAATGGTTTTAGTATAATGAAAAACTTATTTTGCATTTGTTTTGTTTTATGTTGTACTAGCTCTGGAGGATTATGGGAAACGTCAATTACTTCTTTGTTTATACATCCATTTATCAAGGTTTGCTGTCAGCACACACTATGCCCCTAAGGAAGTTGCGAAAAGGAGACTTCCTAAGTGAAACAAAACAGATGCCCCTGCTTTAGGCTGATATAGGCCTACATCAGGACACATGTCTTTGCAAACTGCATGTTAGCATCCTGCCCTTCAGCTAGATGCATTTGTGTAGGATGCTAACCAGAACAGACTGTAGCCCTGTATCCAACAAATATCTGTGAGGTAACTACCATGTGCCATGCCTGTGCTGGGCCCTGGGAGGCACAAAAATGAATAAGATACAGTCATGTCCCTCATGAAGTTATAGTCCACTTTGGCAGATACAAATCAAGTGAAAAGTTGTAAGATAATATTGTAAGATAATATAGACAGTGAAGACAAGCATACCCTGAAGACAGCAGCCAAGGTCCCTTAGAGGAGGGAATATTAGAAATGGGTCTCAGAGTAGGATGAGTTAGACTTTATCACATAGCAAAAACAAACAAAACAGAACAAAATATAAATGCCAAAGTGTGATCATACGAATACAAGACCAGAGGAAGTAAAAAAAGTCCTAGGAATCCAGAAAGAAGAAATTAGTCTGGAAGCTACATTGGTACTAAACTGCTCAGATTAACTGGATAATAAAGATAAATCAATTTGGCCCAGCCTGGTGGTACAATAGGTAGCAAACTGAAAAGCAGTGCTGAAACCATGTGGCCTACCACAGGTTTGGAACACTTGTTTGGCCTGAAAACAGGCCAAGTGTGTGTACACATTCCCAAGATCCTGAAGACCTAGAGGGCTGAGGAAGGGAGCTCATGGCATGACAAGACCCTGTTGAGGGTCCTTCTCTGATGCATGTATGTGTTCTCCATCATGAATAAAATAAATTTAATACATAAATAAGAGATGAAGTGATTCATTAAAATGGGGGGGGGGTGGAAATTGGACAACCAGACTGATGTGAGGAAGCAGGGAGGCTTAAGCAAATTAGCATTGGGGGAAACTGCTGTTTATAACTTGCAAGTAGGAAATTTCCAGTGCCATTTGATTTCTGTTTTTTATCTTACATTATCTTCGTGGGTCATTTCTGTAAATTACTTGGCTTATGGGAGAATTGATGTGCAAATTTCTCATATTACATTTAATTTAAACTACATTTTCACAAAAAAAAAAAGAAACTGAGGCATCAATACAGATAGGTCAAGCCACTTTGGTTTAGATTTTAAAATCCAGAATACAGGATAATTTCCCCATACTTTCTCTTTTGCAAATAAAGAAGCTAAAATCTCATGTCTTCTTTAGCCAACATTGCTGATGAAGTAAAGGTGTTGTTAATCAGAGGCATATGCCTTGCTTTACCCTGAAGCCAGCAAATATTTTTTAGTAAAGCTGGCATGCACCCCTCTGGGTCCTTGGTTTATGACCATTTTTTTTTTCCTTCCCTGTTTGACCTCTGCACAGAAATAAACGTTTGTAATAATTAACAAACCTAGTTTATAGCTAATGTTGATTTAATATTAAGTAGTTTCATAACAATATGTGACTGCCCAGTTTCTCTTAAACTTCTAATTTGATTGTTTTTTTTGGTAAGGCCAACAGCCTATGTTCCTTTTCTTTTTCTAGTTGCTTATATTTTCTGAGCACCTTGAGGCTCTGTAAGTTCCTACTCAGCTAAAATAACATGGAATCTAATTTGAAAAATCCAGTGGAGTTTAACTATAAATTATTCTGTGTTATATTCAAAGGCTAGAGGTTTCAAAATTGATCACATCAGCAACATTTGACTCTAATTGCATTAGGTTACTTGGTGATGTACAAAAATACAATTTTTGCAGAGCATTGTTTGAAAGATAATTCTTTGTGATGAATGTAAGCACCAGACATTGTACTCAAAAAGAAACTGTCATATCTGGGGAGGGAACTGAGGTGAGGGATATTCTGAACACCTAAAACCTGACAGACAAGAAGTGACTGAGAGACTAGTTTGAACCAATCAGAACTAAGGTGGTGCCTGGAACAACCATTTTCCAAGTTATTAAACCCCCACTGCACTGCATTAACATGACAAATGACACTCCCACCTATGCCAAGACTGTCTGGAATAGCCATGGCAACCACTGGAACTACACTAATAAGGCCAGAAAATGGGAGGGACAGTGGTTCCAGGGAAATTGCTGCCCTTTTCCAGGAAAAATCATGAATAAACCACCTATTAATTAGCCTGGTATTAAGCCATGCCATATAAGCCCAACGCCCGCCAGAATACTGCACTGCCCTGCCTATGGGGTAGCTCTTCTTTCTACCTTTTTGGGTAAATTCTCTCCTTCCTCTCAGAGGAAGGAACAAAACTGTTCCATCTCCCCTTACAAGGCTGCTCCACTTATGGAACAGTCTCCTTGGTACATTTCCTTAATAGTCGTGCTTTTGCTCTCCCTCAATGGCTCGCGCTTGAGTTCTTCCCCGCAGGAAGCCCCGGACCCTCACCCCGGGGTAAAAACCCCTACAAGGGTTGAGTCTTCCCGGCAACAGACGAAAGCGTCAGGCATTGCACTCGAAAGGAAGCTGTCATAATTGGAATCAGCTACAAATATACGTAGGGCCAAATTAAACGGTTCATCAGGCTGTATAATTGACATATATCGCTGCAATTTTGTGTATTGGTAAACTTTGAATACTAATTCTTTTTCCATAATCCTGCCTCGCTGTCTGAAATAGTGCGTCTTTGGTGAACGCCTTTAAGCTGTGTGAAACAGGAGCTTACCTGCATCTCTCCAGCACTTTGCTTGCGTTCAGTACATACTAGGTATTCAAAGTATATTCGAGAAATAAACGAATAATAATAATGAGATGAGAGGGAACGGAGGTGGTGAGGGACATTCTAAACACCTCAAATCTGACAGGCAAGAAGTGGCTGAGAGACTGGGTCTGAACCAGCAGGAACCAAGATGGCGCCGGATCGCCAGCGGCTACCCTTCCGGCTCTTTCTACCCTCATTTTACGACATTAGCGTGCCAGAGGGCACTACGCTGCCACGACACTTTGGAATAACCATAGCAACAAGCGGAACTACACTAACAAGGCCAGAAAATGGGAAAGACGGGGGTTCCAGGGACACTACTGCTGTGTTTTGGGAAAAGTCACAAATAAACTGCCCATTAATGAGCCTGGCATTAAACCACGCCATATAAGCCAGGTGCCCACCGGAGTTTGGCACCACCCTGCCTGTGGATTAGCGCTTCCTATTTTGGGGTAAGTTCTCTCCTTCCTAAAGGGAGGAGTGAAATGGTTCACCCATTGTTGTAGTCTTCTCAGTGAGAAATAAGAGGACATCCAGACATAGCTAAATTTATTGGAGTTTCTTGATTAAACCGGCAGCATATGGGGCACTCATGTCTCTCAAAATCCCACAGCCCTGAGTGAAAGGAGAAAGGAGCTTATATAGGCCAAAAATGCAAAGATGTTTTACAAGGGCAAAGGAACAAAGTAAAGGGGCTTCAGGAGAGATAGGGAGTAGGGTTTTCTATCTTCAAAGCAAAAACAGCCAGTTACAGAAGCAAAGCAAGCAGGTTAATTAGTCTTGAGGGTAAATTCCGATTACAATGGAATTTTCATGCCTTCCCTGGTTCCGGTCAAGGTTCTTGAGGCACCTGGGAGTGGGGCTTCTTTGGATCTTATCTGCACTCATGGAGAGGGGGAGAAGGAGGCATAGTTTCTAAAATGAAATCACCCTTTCAAAATGGAGTCACACTTGCTTCATTCCCCACATCTCTTAGAGGTGCTCCTCCAAGATGGGGTCATGCCTACTTCACCATCTCTCCTCACAGGGCTGGAGTAGTCTGGTCAGTATACTTTCCTTAGCAAACTCACTTTTGCTCTTCAAAGGTTTGCTCTTGAATTCTTTCCTGCGTAAAGCCAAGGACCCTCACACACTGGGTAGAAACCAGTTGAGTCTCTCTGGCAACATTGATAACTTTTTCCTATATTCCAAACTCTGTGCAAAATGTTTTATGTGTATTTTCTCATTAATACTTCAAGATAACACCATGAAATCATTAGTATTGTTAATTTTACATTTGAGAACATGAAACTCAGAAAGTTTACACAGCTAATACAGGACAAAGCTGAGGTTTTGACGGCTCTAAGATTCCCAACTGCTGTTATACGATGTAAATGCATAAAAAATTAAGTAAACACAAGGGACCTTCAAAATAGAAAATGTGTTATAAAAAAACTATGTATAGGAGCCAGCAGGTGGTGTAGAGGGTAAGATGGATTAACCATGCTAGATTCTCACATGGATAACCACAGTTTGAGTCCCGGACTTGGAGGCTTGAAAATCACAATCAAGCAAGTAAGCAAGCGAAAGAGAGAGAAAGAAAAAGAAAGAGAAGGAAAGAAGGGCAAGTGAGCCTACAGGTGCCATGGTGGTTAAGGTGTTGGAATCCTACATGGCCAATCACTGTTCGAGTTCCAGAACTGGTGGCTTGCTTTCTCACTTTCCTTCTCTCTTTTTCTCTAGACAAATTTAAAATAATAATAATAATAAATAAAAATTAAATGAATAATTCTTTTAAAAAATCTTTTAAAATAATTATAAAAAACTGAATATATTTAAAAAAAATTTTTTTGTAGTTTTGCTATAGGATGCATGCACCCTCTGGGTAGAGTCAGAAAGAAAGGGAGAGAAAGAGAGAGGGAAAATAAGAAATTCCCCAACTCTGGGAGCTGGCAGGTGGTATGGTGGTTAAGGTGCTGGACTCCCACATGGCCTATGATAGTTCAAGTCCCAGACCTGGAAGTTTGCTTTCTCACTTTCCCTCTCTCTCTCTATCTGGTCAAATTAAAATGATAATAAATAAATTAAATTAAATAAATAATTCTAGAAAAGAAAAGAAAAGATAACTCCCCTAGGGAAGATGGCCTTGCCTCAGTCCCTTCTCCTCCATTCTCCTCTATGGGTTTTGGACGCACATGCACATGTACCCAGTGTTACCAAGTTCAAATCGCAGTTGGCCATGTAGGATCTACTCACCTTACCTTCCACATCATCTGCTGGCTCCAGATTTCAAAAATTTTTGCACCTGGGACCAGCAGTTAGCATAATGGCTATATCACTAGACTCCCATGTAGCCAACAGCAGTTTGTGTCCCGGACCCGGTGGCTTAAAACTCATGCCAGGCACGTGTGCGTGCATGCCGAAGATTCAAAGAGGAGAACGGAGGAGACGGGATTGCGGTGTGGCCATCCCCCTGGGGGGTGATTTCTCGCTTTCTGTCTCTCTGTCTCTGTCTGTCTGACAAGTACATGTGCCCTATAGCAAAAACCTCAACCAAAAAAAAAAATTTTTTTTGCACCAAAATAAACTTGTATAATTCCATTTTCCAAGAACTTTTTGAAGTCTCCTTGTAGTGATTGGTGTGTATATATATTCATTTGATTAGTGTTACCACAGAGTCATGCTGGCACTGAGTCGTGCCTCACCCCCTCAAGCCATAGGTTGTTGCTGCCAGTGTAAATACTGTTATCAAGAAGAGGTTTAAGGGACCAGCAGATGGCATTAGAGGTTACATATCTGGACTCCCACGTAGTCAACTGCGGTTTGAGTCCTGGATCCAGCAATTTGAAACAGCTGTGCATGTGTGCATGCGTGCCCAAGATCCTGAGAGGAGAATGGAGGAGAAGGGATTGCAATGTGGCCATCTCTCCTGGGGGATGATTTCTTACTTTCTATTTCTGTGTGTGTGTCTGTTTGCCTGACGAGCACACACACCCTATAGCAAAAATCTCTCTCTCGCAAAAAAAAGAAGAGGTTGAGCTAGAATTATGCTAAATGGTTGCCATTATTCATAAAATCATCAGAAAATATTTAATTCTAAATTGTCTCCTCCACTTTTCCTGTAGAAGGCATGAGATATTCATCTAGGCACTCAGGTAAGTAGCAATCATGTGAAATTATAGACTTTTCCCCAAAATACCTTTTTATTAAATAAGCAAGGATTTTGAAGCACATTATTTTGAGTCAAATTTTTCTGGACAATAAGTATGTAGCTAAGACAAGTGTGAAATTACATTCAATTACCAAAATGTAACTGACTCCATTTTTCTTTCTTAGGAATGAAACACCTGGAGGGCAAGATTATGACCTGTGCAGTAATAAGTTATGCCTATCAGGTAATTCGGAAATTCTCTTTAGGTAGACAGAACTGTAAGAATGGCTTGCAATAATCAAGAAACTACTT